GGGCTTCGGGGTAGGGCGGTCACGGGATCCGCGCAGGCGCCTCCGGGGTTCGACAACGGGGACCGCGGACGGCGAGACGGGCCGCGAGGCCTGAGCGGGGGCCGGGGGAGTCGCCCCGGTTTCCTCAACCCCGCAGAAGAGCAGAAGGCAGGCGGCGAAAATGTCCTCCTCAGCGGTCCGGGTGGGCCGCAGTGCCGAGGGACCACGGACGGAAGCCGAGGCCGACTTCCTCAACCCTCCCTTCCCCAAACCGACCGGGTACCCGGCTTCTGCAGTTCGCCTCAGGCCTCTGACGCCCGGCTCCCTCCGCCACTATCCCACAATTCCCCGAGCGCAGAGAACGCTAGACGCCCCGCCCTCCCGCGGCTTCTTGGTGCGCAGGTGCGCCGCGGCCGCGCCCCTTGCTGCGCATGCGTACCAGGCCCAGGCGCGCCCCGCCCCGCCCACCCGGAAAGCCTCAGTCGCGCTTGCGCCCCTTTGTGCCAACGGTCTTTCCCAAGCATCAAGCCAGATGGCCTAGTGCGCAGGCGCCGTTATATGCCCAGGAGCCAGTTTCTTTGCGACTCCATTCCAGAGTGCACTATAAATCCTATTCCGGGATTTCTCTTCTTCCTCGCTCCGTTTGGAAATCCGTTCGCTATTTTGGTCTCCTCCAACCACCTTCCGGCTCTGGCTCCAGTTCCAACGTCGTGCTCCTGGGAAATCCACTCCAGGCTTTCCCTCTTGGAGAAACCTGGCCTGTGCAACCTGGGTGAGGTGGTCTGGCCCACCCTTTTGTCTGTCGACGCCTTCTGTGTGCCTGACCTGTCCTTCGTTCCTGGTTGCCACATAAAGCTTCTCTAACATTAATGGGAAGGGTCCTTCTAGACCTCCTGTCAGTATTGAGTGCCATCCCCAACCTTCTTGTTAGCTGCTTTCCAGTCAGTGTCGACTGACAGTGACCGCACGTGACAGAATAGAACTGCCCCATAGATTCCTAACTTCAACCTTGACAGGCGCTGACCTTCCAGTCTTAACCCTGCAGAGCCACTAGGTGGGTTCTAACTGCAAACTCGAATCAGGAGGTGTGTTTCTCTCACAGACGTGGAATAGGAGGGCTCCACAATCCAGCTGACCAGTCTGATTCCTTTCCTTGAGCTTGCCAACGTTTCCTCTCATCCTCCCTTTTAACCCCCTCTGCAGTCTAACGGATCCACGTTCTTGTTAACACAGCTTGAAGTGATCGCGAGGCATTTTCTTGTTCATCGTTTATGTTGGCTTCGTCTTTTTCCCATCATTTTGCTTGGTTCATTTTTCCCCAGAATAGGATTATATATAGGCCACCCTTTTGCACATGGGGGCTGAGGAAGTGAGGGACAGGGATCAACCATACTCAACCACTAAATGGAACTCAGGAAGTGGAAGCAGCCGCTTTGCAAGAACCTGGAAAACACTGGGGTCTTTAAACCTGAGATTCATCCTGGCCAGAAGTCCTAGAGACGTGAAACTGCTGTTTACGTCAGAATGAACCAGCTACTGTGGAGTCTGTCCCTACTCATAGTGACCTTACAGGACAGAGTAAAATTCCCCCAGTTTTTTAAACTGTGGTTAAAGTGACTCCCAGGCAGTGGGTGTGGTTTGGGCTTTGCTTCTGTGAAGATTGACAGCCTTGGAGACCCTGTGGGCAGTTCT